TCCCTGCCGCGCCGTGCAGTGCGGAGCTCGCGCCTGGGTTCGGTCCGCGAGGCCCACGTGGGCCGGCGCCCACTGATGGGCGCCTCCTCCGGGCCACGGACAGGGGCCGAACGGAGTCCCGGCCTCCCGCGCCCGGCACTGCGCCCCGGGCCGGACGCGCCACCCTCGGGGTCGCGGTTTGTGTCTGCGCGCCAGGAGACAGCTGCTCCCTGGGGGCTATGGCGACGGTTGGGACGGGAACGCATGGAACAGCTCCTGGCACAATGCCTGGCACGTAGTAGGTGCTGCGTGCGTTGGATTCTCTCTCTTTAGAATTATTTTTCTTTTATTGTGGGCGAGGCTCTCACCACCCCCACGCAGTGCTCTGCGCCTCTCTCCTGGCCGCAACTTAGCGAGAAGCGGCAGGTTCGCTAAAGTTTCCGCCGCGCTGCTTGCTTGGCTCCTCTGGGGCTGCGCGTTGGGCCTTGGGGTGCGCGGGATCGCCGGACGCCCGCTCGTTTTCACCAGAGGCTCCTGCGCTCCGTCTTGGGGGTCCCTCTCCTGGCCAGAAGGTAGCGACTGCAAGTCGGGATACCTTTTGTTCAACAAGTGCCTGGTCTCCGGGGAACACGCCACGGGTGTGCAAGAGCCGCCCCCGGCAGACAGGCACCGGTCTGGGGCTCCCGGCCTGGCCACCCAAATGCCACCCCGTTGTCGTTAGGGAGGTTGTCTGCCAGGACACAGAACCTTGCTGCAGGCCTGGGCGTCGGGCACCTCCAGTCCCACACGGATGGATACCTTGGCATCAGCCTGGTGCGTCAGCGGAGGTCAGCATGAGACCCGTCCTTCTAGTCTCACACCTTCGCTTACACACGTATTTCCCTTGGGGACCGACCACGGGTAGAGCTAAACCGACTGGCCACGCACGCTGCTTTTAGCAGGAGTCGGGTGAGCTCACCTGAGCACCTGCTCGGCACCCACAAGGCAGCTCGGGCTGCCAGTCCTTGCTGAAGTCATTTCTTCTCTCCACTGCACTGGTTCCTTCCCCCGGGACCCTTCCTGGTGGCAGAGAGAGCTGGGCAGCACAGGCCTCGAAGTGCCCGGGGCTCTCAAATGGAGCCTCAGAGCGGCCGGGAGGAGCTGCAGGCCCCCCTGCCCCGGTGTAGGACGCAGTTCCAACCAGCAGTACCTGACTCCGGGGTCCAGCCCCGTGATGGCTAGCCAGGGCATATCAAGCTGATTGCGTCCTGATTTGGTGCTGGGCTTACTTCGAATGTATCCTGTTTTCTGTTTCATCCGGTGATTTTATTCCTTCCAGGAGGAAAGGGCTTTGGATCTGAATCCTGCTCTCTCCTATCATCAGATTCAATTTTTTTTTTTTTTTTTTTTTTTTTTTTCAAAAACCAATCTGGCTTTGAAAGCTCAGGAGACAGACCAAAAAGCTGTATTGTTTTGGTCGTTTTGCTAGCTGAAGCCAGCCCTTTGTCTCCAGCAAACCTGTGTTTGGCCCTAGGTCTATTTCTGTTTCACTTTTGAAAGTGCCTGTAATTACTGGGCTCTTGAGGTTTTATTGGATCATGTGCCAGAGGGAAGGCCAGGGGCTCCACTTTCCCCGGCTGTGGGCTGTGGTGCCACCCTCGAGCCTTGGCCGCTCCTGTGGCGTGCCACTTTTACGCTGTGTTGAAGGTGGAGCATGACTGTCTGTGTCAGAACTGCTTGGGAGACGTGGCTTTGGGAATCACATCCCTAGCAGTGATGGCAGAAAACAGAGCAGAAAACAGAAAACCCCAGAAGAAAAGAAAGCTGCCCAAACTGCAGCAAGAACCTGTCCCTTCCCAAAAGCCCTCCCAGAGAGAGGCTTGAAGAGAAAGGAAACCACTGTGTGTGTCGGGGGGTGTTGCTTCGGAATGGACCTTCTGCCCTATTTCCGCCCCAACTGGGCAGAATTCAAAAACCAAGCCATGGCAGAAGCTTGGTCTCCGTTTGGTGCAGAGGTTCCAGCTGCCCAAAGCCTGGTGCTTACCCGGCTCCATCCCTGCCTGCAACCCCAGTGAGTTTCCCTGTGCAGTTCAGAGTGCCCACACCTTCTGCCTTCAGACTATGCACTTCCAGTACCGTGCTGGCCTCGGCAGGGCTGTGCTGTCTCCACTACCACGCCGGGTGTCAGCGAGCAGCGTGCTCTCCGGGGTGTTTGCCATGTCGTCGTGTCCCCCCCTCCCCCGCTTACTCCAGCCCTAGGATTGCTGGCAGAGAACCACTGTCACTCTCAGACCAGTGAACATCCAGGATGGTAGCTAGCAGGGGCCCTAGGCTAGCCTTGGCCCTGAACGTGAAGTGACTGGGCAGCTCAAGTTTTATCTAGATTGGGCTTGGGTTTGGCTTTCCAGCAAGTTCTGAACTGTGCTTGTTTGCTGTGGGAGGATGCTTAGAATTTATGAGTCTCCAGCCCAGGCTTGATAGGGGATTCTGCACGTTTTGCCAGGATGTGAACCCCTGACGTCATTGCGCTGGAGTGGGAGGTACATTTGGAGTTAGGGTGAGCAGACACTTGTAGATTTTAATCATGCTCTATTTTGGGGGCTTCCCATTCTCTCAAAGCCTTATTTATTTATTTATTTATTTTGTCTTTTTGAGACAGGGTCTCACTATGCAGTTCAGGCTGGCCTTGAACTCGCTATGTAGCCCAGGCTGGCCTCGAACTTGCAATGATCCTTCCGCCTCAGCCTCTCAAGTGCTGGGATTACAGGCGTGCGCCACCAAAAATAAAAAAAAATTAAAAAAATTTTTTTAGACAGGGTCTCACTGTATAGTTCATGTTGCCCTTGCACTCACTATGTAGCCCAGGTTGACCTTGAATTTATGTCAATTCTCCTGCCTCAGCCTACCAAGTGGTGGAATAACAAGTGCGCGCCACCACACACGTTTTCTTCGGTCATGCTGAGTTACTTCCTTGTTTTCAGTGAGCTGTGCATCTGTGAATCTGGTCCTTTTGCCTTAGGGTTGAGTTTCTGGTTGGGATGTCAGAGATAACTGTGTATGGAGGTGCTGGGTGGGTTTAGGGGCTCTCTTAGTGTCACTTGCCTGACTGAAGGGATGTTTCAAGACACTTTTTAACCAAAAAAAAAAAGTGGTGCAAGTTGTCATAAAAGTTCAGGTAATCAATACAGTTTGACAGGCGGGACATTTCTAGAGGAGGACAGTTCCACTGGGCAACCTCCCCAGCCCCAGGTGGAACATTTCTTAGGTGCTGCTGAGCACGGTGCAAGTCTAAAGAACTTTTTTCTTTTTTATCATCGCAAAAGCGCAATAAAACCTTAGAGCATCCTGCCTTGGCCACGTCATTTCGAGTCAGATTGAATTTCAGAGGCAGAGCTTCACATCTCTGCAGTTTTGGGGCACGACTAAAGAGAGGGGTGTTCTTGGGGCTTCTTTTCCTTTACCTAAATAAACCTAGGCTGGGTGGGGTGGCACACACCTGTCATCCCAGCAAAGGGAAGGCTGAGGCAGGAGGATCACTGCGAGTTTGAGACCAGCCTGGGCTATCTGGTGAGTTCAAAGCCAGCCTGAACTTCATAGCAAGACCCTGTTTCAAAAAACCAAACGCAAACCAAACAACTTAGTACACTCCCAGCACCTGCTAACTGGGTGGCTGTGTTTTCTGGGTGCTACTGTAATTATTTTTTTCCTTCACTTGAGGTCCAGCCCAAGTTGGCTGGAAGCCAGGAGCCTGGGGTTGGAGGGGCAGGTAATGGGCTTCCGGGCTGCCAGCCTGGCTAGGGCAGCTCTGAGCTCAAGGTTGCCAGGACCCTGAAGGAGGAAGAAAGCTTTGGGGGTGTGTGGTTCCCCTTTCCATATCTTCCGAGGTTTTGCTCCTGTGCCCTTTACCTGCAAGACCCTTCTCAACCTTTTCTCCCTTTATATCAAGAGATGCAATAATTCATATAAAATATATCCATTATAACTATACAGTTCTGCCCAGTGTGTTGATGCACACCTGTAATCTTAGTGCTAGGGAGGCTGAGGCAGGAGGATTGCCATAAGTTCAAGGCCAGCCTGGGCTGCGTAGTGAGATCCTGCCACAAAACAAAAAACAGACAAAGAAAGAAGCGTACAGTTCAAAGATTTTCAGAAAATTGACAGAGTTGTGCAACCACTACCATAATTCAGGTTTTTTTTTTTTAAACTACTGGGAATTGAACCCAGGGCCTTTGCACTAAGCTCCATCCCAAGACCTTTTTTATTTTTAATTTTGAGACAGGTTCATGCTAAGTCACTAAACGGCCCAGCCTGGGCTTAACTTGGGATCTTCCTACTTCAGCCTCCCAGAGTGCGGGGATGACAGGCATGCGCCGCCACATGCGGCCTGCTGCCACTTTTTAAATCTTGGATGGTGATGCTTCCTCTGCTACTAAATATCCCTTCTCTGCCAGGCCTAGTGGTGCACACCTGCAATCCCAGCACTCGGGAGGCTGAGGAGGCAGGAGGATTGTTGCGAGTTCGAGGCCAGCCTGGGCTACAAAGTGAGCTCAAGTCCAGCCTGAAGTGCATAGCGAGACCCTGTCTCAAAAAGACAAAAAAAAAAAAAATTTCTTTTCCAATTCGAGTTTAAGGCATCTGAGGTCGGTAGCAGTGACAGGTATGCATGTGAAGGCTTCCAGCAGGGCCCCAGGGGCAGTGTGGAGTTTGGAGGGCAGCACCAAGCATCCTCACAGCTTCACAGCTTTGGAGAAGCAC